CTCTATCGTGCAGCATGTAAAAAATCAGGAACAACAACTCGAAGAGGCCATTCAGCCCTTACCCCCTTCCTCAGAAGACCACCTCTCTTCACGGCCCTCTCAACACCTTCCCTCTTGGCTCACCATCCTAGAACACACTCTACGTTTCCTAAATCAAACGTTCCCTGACTTCCCTTCTTCACAATGCTTCCACTGCGCCTCTTCACAGCGACCCTTACTAGCAGCCGTTCCCCTTCCAGCTATTCTCAACTACACTCACAACACGTCCGCCCACGGGGAAATTATAGTCAAACCTCATGTATCCCTCTGGGAAATAGCCTCTAATTCCTCCTACCTCTGTATCAACTCGCCACGTGCCCCCTTTAACAACACTCTTTGTTCGGCCTACACAAACCTCACAAAGGCCCACTTCCTGCCACCTGGGCTATTTTTGTGGTGCAATGGCACCCTCCTCTCCCGAGCTTCAAACCTAACTCATCCCTGCATAATTGTCACGTTGGTCCCTCAGCTCTCTTTATACTCCATGACCGACCTCCAGACACTTTTAACCCCCAGGCATTCACACAAAAGGACCGTCTTCCTCCCGGTTCTGGTTGGATTGTCCCTCGCAACCGCTTTCACCTCCCTTGGCCTGGCGGGAGGAGATCTCGGCTACTCACTATGGGCAGTAGAAGACCTACAAAACAAAATCCAGATGGTGCTAGACACCACCTCAGAATCCATCGGGTCACTACAAAGACAAATAACTAGTTTAGCACAGGTAACCCTCCAAAACCGTACAGCCCTAGACCTCTTAACAGCCGAAAAAGGAGACACCTGCCTCTTTCTCCAGGAAGAATGCTGCTATTATGTCAATGAATCAGGGCTCATTGAACAAAATATCAACAAACTAAACGACCTCTCCTCACAGCTTCAATGAACAAAGCCCACTCAGATTACCAGTTGGTTTCCAAACTCCCTCCTCACGTGGCTTCTTCCTATCGTTAATCCAGTAGTTCTTTCTTGGCCTGTGTTCCTTTCTCCTTTGCATTATAAAATTTCTTCAATCTCAATTCCAAAAAATTTCAAATCAAACCATTAACCAGTTTCTTTTACAGAGTTACAACCTCCTACCCACCGAGGACCCAGGCCTCAACAACCCAAGCCTTACTGCCTCCTAAACCTTCTCGCCCCAGTTTTCATTACAGATATGGCTTTCAGGCCTTATTACCTCCAACTCAGGTTTTCAGCATTTCTTGACCATCTTCTTCGTGACAAATGGCTCCTCCCTTTCCCGTGTCCACTCGACGACTGGCCGGACCAACTTGCATTTTTCTACCTCCAGGGCACCTTCCAAGACTTCCACCCCAGCGAAATTTTTTCTTTCGGCGCCTTCTTATGGGGCCTCATGTAGCTGGTTCTTTCACCCACCTCACCCCGCAACGTCCTCTGCCAGCAGGAAGTAGCCAGATTGATCAACTCCGCCCCTTTATCACTTAACCAAAGAGGTGGGAATGAAGCCAGCCAGTCACGAGGAACCCGCCCCCTCCAAAGGCTAAGCCTAGGCGTGGCCCCACCTAAAATGGCGCTCCCACCTAAGAGGTGCCCGGACAAACTTACATGGAGGCTCGGACACGGCTCTCCGGGTTTTTCTTCCA